CCGCCCCTTCAGGTTGTTTTTGGCTGCCTGCTCTCCGTACTGGAAGGTGGCCTCCCGGCTCAGGCGGGCTACCGTCTCCCTCTCCGGGTGGTTGGGCTTCCACACGAACCACTCCACCATAAGCTGGGAGGCCACACTGGTGCGGTTCAGGACCACACACTCCAGCTGCACCTGCCGGGTCTCCAGGACCGACAGGTTCCCCTGGGCTTGGCTGAGCTTCAGGCGGCTGTCTAGAAGAGTGAGGAGAGAGATGTCAGCACAAGAAGACAAGGATCCGCACGCTCCTTCCCAGGAGCAGCGAACAGTGCCGTCCAGGTAGCGAGGCCAGCGGCACAGACGTGATCAGAAATCATTCTCACGCATGGCACCCTAAGCGTTCTGAGCTCCTTGATCACACGTCTGGAGGGCCTGGGTCTCACACAGTTCAATGGCACAGAACAGCTGTGTCCCCGAACTGAGAACCCTCATTGGTTTTGATGTTTGGGAGGACAAGCCAGAGCCGTGAAGACTTTACATCCAGTGACAGTGGGCCACAGAGCACATGGCTGACTGACAGGGGTGGTTGGGAAACCCCTCCCAGAACAAGAGTAAACTTTCAAAACTGACCATACACAGGGTCAGCTAAAATACACTGGGCTTCCAATCCCAAAAGAACTACAGAGGAAATCGGTTTAATGTACACGCATCGGCCATACAGACTGCAGCTTACCAAAAAGTCATGAGGGATCCCTCCTAAGACGGGAACAGAACTGACCTGACATCGGTACAGAAAAGACTGGTACGGATGCTACTGGGGGGCTCGATACAGCCAGCCAGATTCTCCTCCAGTGAGAAAGTGTCACTCACGACAGCATGCTCGTCATTTCATAAAAGGCCCTAGTGAGCCTCAGGACCACAGGGATCTAAAAGCCATGACACTGCCTAAGCAGGGGACATGTCTGAGTGACATCTGACGAGGGGAAGGGCCAGGCTTTTATTCTTTCTACACTTCAGTGTTGTCTGAATAACTTACAGCACTCATGACCACCTTTGTAATCAAAAGGTCAAAATCAAAAAATAAGAGAAAATACATGTTAAATAAGGAGCCCTCAGATAGGAAGATAGAGATATATACATACACACATATACCACACACACACACACACACACACACATATGATGATATAACTCTAGTTAACACCAGGTAGAAAGATTATCTTCTTCATTGCAGCTTTGTTTTTTTATTTTTTTGTTTTTTGGTTGTTGTTGCTGGATTTTGTTTTTGTTTTTTTCCCAAAAAGATATAAACCAAAACATCTCAGCTGAGAGGAGAAAGCTGTTTTAATTACTGTCCCATGAGTTTCTGCTTATAGTTTCTGGCTCACTACAGCAGAGCTTCACTAACAGTGCCAACAAGGATCCGTAGAGTTCTTTTTTACCGTCCCCTTAACTTGCCTGTACCTCAGCTGGGGAAACCCCTCGATGAATTTAGGGCCCACCAAGAATCTCTTGGTTTCAGTGCAAATGAGGAAAGAGAAAGGACGGTGATGACTAGAGAAGAAGTGCTGAGGGCGGGCGGGCACATTCTCTGGGTACCTAAAGAAGCAGAACTGAAACAGAGAGGAGGACTGGACCCAGAAGCACCGCGGCAGGCTGATTTCGAAAGCCCCCCGAGACTGGCCTGAAGTCAGGACTCATGTCACTGGAAACGCCAACAGGAATTGCTTCAGAAGGGAGCTTCCTGTTAAACGCTCCGGGACAAGGGCTGACGGAACGGGTCACTGTGAGGCCAGTGAGAATCCCTGGAAATGTGATGTCCCCAGGAAAAGGAGGGAGACAGGCCGGGCCACATCAGGGGTTCTGTGTCTGGTGCCATGCACTGAACCAGTATTTACTGAGACCTCCTGGGAGGCAAGCATGGCAAAGACAGCCAAGGGTCTGTACTCCCCCGGGGAGCGTCGATTCTCGTGGGTGAGAGAGACAACAAATGGATGCGTGCGTGAGTGTGCGTACCCAATATGTATGTGTATTCTATATTTGAATACACACTTAATGGATAGGTAATACAGAGTAAGCTAATAAGTTAACTAGGGACTGGCAGGTGGAGTGGCGGTTATGGGCACTGGATTCCCACATGACTGACCATGGTTTGGGGCCCAGACCCGCTGGCTTGCTTTCTCATTCTCTCTCTCTCTCTCGTCATATTAAAATAAGTAAATAAATTTAAAAAAGAAAAATAAAATAAAAAAATAAATTAAAAAAGTAAATAAATTAAAAAGAAAAAATAATAAGTAAATTATAAGTAAAAATACAAGAACTTACGTAATTTATTTATATATGAACAAGCAAGTGAACGGGAGGCCAGCCGGTGATGCATGTGAAGGTGGTATAAAAGGGGTGGGGAGAGGGGATTCCGGGTGACAATGGCTTTTTTAAGTTAAAATGAGCCAGGAGGGCCTCTTAGAGGAAGAGCAAGATAAATATCTTTGGCAATGTGTTCCTGGCTGAGAACAGCAAGAACAAAGGCCGTGGGGTGTTCTACCAAGGGCGCCATGCCAGTGGCTAAAGACAAAAACAGAGCCATGTCCTTAATATGCTCGTAGTGTAGTGCGAAACAAATGCAAATAACTACATTACACATTTTATAAGGAACCCCTGGTGATCTGGGAGAAATCCAGGTCGGCTTCCTGAGAGTGGTGCAGAGTGAAGTCTTGGGGAAGGTAGAAGCAGCAGGAGAGACATATTTCAGGCATAGAGAACAGCATAGGCAAAGGCGTAGAGATGGGGCTCAGAGCTTGGGCCACACGACACCACGGCCACTCGGGAAAGGACAGACGGTGTCGAGCTGTAGGGCATGTGGGCTTGAGGGACAAGTGTGCACTAAGGCCACATTCTGTGAGGAGGAAATGAAAGCTGAGACCTTTCGCAAGGAGAAGGGGAGCCAGCCTTCGTATCTGCACAAGGAAATAACCCAAATGCGTCTTGGGTTGGTTTGGGGGCAGGTCTAAAACTGGAGAGGGGAGTGACGTGCAGAGAGCTTCTCAACGACCGTACGAAAGCGGAACTGAAGCTTGTAGAGGTAGTCAGCTCACTTTCCCTGGAGGCCTCTGGCAAAGGTTGGACACCACCTGCCGGGGAGCAGACTGAGGGCTACACCCACAGGGTCTGCGGTGCGGGCAGAGGGTGATTCAGTCTGATGACAGGAAGAGGTTGGGATGGGAGGCAAAGAAGAATGGGAAGCAGATGAGACACAAGATGCCTTCTAGGCAGGGGTCCTGGGTGTGGGGCTGGTACCAGCCCTTGATCCATGACGAACACCATGGAAAACTGCGAACACCAAGAGACCCAGGAGCTCTATGAACCCTGCCCTGCACACTGTGCTGACCACTGCCCCCTTCAGGCCTCTCCTTGGTGAAGGTGGACACAGAAGCAGGGTGAAGGAGGCTGCAACGGGCTTGCCATCAACACTGGGTCCTTCCTACCATGCGTGAGCACTCGGATGGTCTGTGTACCTGGACTCACACCCCACAGGCACCTCAGTCATACTCTCCTGGACCCCACAGAGTCCCGGCAGCCCCCAGGTAGTCGGTGGCCCAAGAGGGCCATTTCCTCTCTCCTTACCTGGCTGTTTCACAGTGACTTCCGTGCGCCCTGAAACCTCCTCTGCCAGCTTGTACCAGGCGTAGTTGGGGCTCAGCAGCCACTCCTCCACGTGGCAGTAGTAACTGCCACTGTCGCTGACCTCAGCTCTCTGCACAGTGAGGCTGAACAGCCCCCCTGACACGTGCCTCTCAAACTGCAGCCTGGCCCTCAGGCCCTCCTCCTCAGCATAGGTGCCGTACTCAAAGGCGGAGTTGTGGGTGGTCTTGAGGATGAGCTTGCCGTCGGCGTCCGAGGGCTTGTGGACGTACCAGAGCACGGCGAAGTGGGAATTCTGGCTGGTCTGAGACTTGACCGCGCAGTTCAGCTGGATGGGCCTGTTTTCCACCAGGGTGAGGGTCCGCTTTGACTTACTCACTTGCAGCTTTGTCACTGTGGAGGGAAGGGAAAGCAGGCTCTAGAACAATGGCCACACACTCCTGGAAGCTTCCAGGCTCCGAGCAGCATTGTGCAGCACCGTTTCTAGGACTGGACGTCGGCAGGGATCCTCCAGAACACAGTTCAGTGTGAAGAGGGCCGCTGGGACCTGGTGTCAGCCTGGACACCCCTTCATCTGGTGCCTCACTGCCATGCCCCTGGCTCGGGCCCTGACCACCTGTCCCCTGCCTGCTGTTCCTGTCGACGCTGTGTGCTCCAGCTAAAATACAAACCTGCCCCATCACAGTCCTGCTTGAAAAGGTTACTGGCTCCCAACTGCCTGCAGGTTGTAAAGAAAAAACTTCCATTCCTTTTCACAGCACAAAGTCCCTCGAGGACTTGGGCCTCACCCAACTGTCCTGGCTTATCTCCACAGCTCACACTCACGTACCCCACCCCTCCTTCCCATGCTTCTCCCAGAGCCCTATTCCTTGCCCTTGCTGTGCCCTCGGTCTGCCCCTTTTTGCTACCTCCTCACCCTGAGCCTTCCCTTCCGCATCCTGCTTCCCCGTCTCCCTCATTCCCAGCCACTAGGCTAGACGCCCCTCCTCGGCGCTCAGCACCAGGCTGTGTTTCTGGCATCACACTTCTCCCTGGACTGTGAGCTCCCCAAGGACAGAGATCAGGCTTCTTCCACTCAGTCAGCCAGTATTCAGAGTGCCCACAGTCTCCCACAGGACGCCTGGTGCAGGGGACGCCCTGAGGAAGGCAGCAGAGTCGCAGCCCCATGGCGCATACTGCCCTAGGGGCATTCTCGTCACCACACTCCAGAGCCCGGCTCAATGCCTGGCTGCAGAAAGTACTGGATCAATGTTTGCTGAGATACGAGAGTGAGTGGGTGAGCACGTGAGAGTATGCTGGAGAAATGAGGAAGCAGATGACTTGAAGATGCTGGGGTGGGTCTTCCTGAGGGCCAGGGCGTAAGAGGGCTGAGGAGACAGTGAGCAACAGGACACAACAAAGCCAACTCTGGCCTCCCTTTCCTCTTACCATCCTGCTCCGAAACGGAAGGGAGTACAGCCTCTGGGATGCCACCCTAGCTGCTAATTAATGACGAGGTTCACTTTTAAGGTGGCAAGAAGTCAAAGTCTAATGAAATACATCTTCCAAAGGTAGTTTGAGACTCACCCCATGCCATTGTTAACATCCTTGGCTTTGATTTCCCCTCCTCACTCTCCCCTGCCCCCCCCCTTAAAATGGAAAAAAGGGCAAAGCAACGATTATAAATTCTTCTTAGGGAACCAACAGTAATAGCATCATCCCACTCCCGGTCCCACTGCTTTCTCTACTCTTAGCTTTTCAGCCACAGGGACCCAACCACATGGCAGCTGAGAAAGAACCCAGCAAGGTACAGACTGCGCCTGGGCTTCCTCCAGCTGGGCTTGCCTGAAGGTTAGCCCTGGCCCGTCTCCAGTGCCATGCTGGTCAGCCTCTTGTTTCCTAAGGCCAGAGGCCAGCTCAAGACCAGGAACTGCAACCAGACACAGAACTGAGTCCCGGTCATGACCACGAGGTTCCCTGCCAGCACGGCTCAGCTGGCTTGGAGCTCAGGGTACAGATCCAGCGTCAGGGTTGAGGCCCCTGGGTCAAGGAATCAAAGCTTCTGAAAGCCGCAGACTGCCACGTGGTCCCCCTGGTAATGCAGACCGATGTTCTGAATGGAAGCGAGCATTCAACGAGTTTAGGTGTGGCAGCATCCAATAGCCAACGTCACTGCTGCGGAAGCAGCTCTGAGGACGCCTCCCCCGCGGTAAGCCAGACATTCTCCTCACAAAGGACTGCTGAAGTCACATACTCACGGGCCTTCGCAAACCAGCAAGAACACAGCAAGCACCAATTTGAGAGCAAGCTCACGTCCTACCGTCCCACCCTTCTGGTTTCATCGTTCGTGCTAACAAGCCCCGTCTTCTGCCTTTTCCCCTCTTCAAACGCAAAGTCCTCCAGGGCAGGCTGGGAATCCAGGGCAGGGTTTACCAGTAAGCTCTCACACTCTGGAAACTAGATTTGCAAGAGCTCGGCCCATCGACTTTTCAGACTGGATTCTTGTAGTACATATTCGAAACCACCGGCTCCCTTTTCATTCCTTTCCAACCCAATCCACCGCATGCAAATGCTATCTGTATGGGTGCAAATGACACCACCTGAATTATCTGGTTCTTGGCCAAAAAAACTAGGTTGTTCGGTGTAGAGTAGAAAGAGCTTTAAAATGTATTATTAATTGGGGCCAGATTATTTTTGCAACTGTTACTAAGGAAACCTCAATTGCTATAGTAACTGCATATGTTAAACTGGAACCCTATGACTAAACTTCAACGTGGTCACATGGTCTGAGCACAGGAATCCAAGGAAGAGCAATGTTTCAAGGCATTTCCATTTTTTTCCCTTCATGTCAAAATATTGTGAAGTGTTGAGAAGCCTGAAAGAGAGGTAGTTTTCAAGTTCGGTGCACGTCAGACAGGTGGGCAAGAGGTCAGTATTTTATGCTCTGGATTTCCTTCCCCATTTCAAGGGCAGAGAGGACCTTTCTGGACGCCCAGGGGAGAGGAGGCTGGTGTCTAATTAGGAAGCACTCGCTCGTCCTGCCACAGCACTGCCCGGGGCAATGTGCGGCCTATGTACACCACCTTCCTCCTCAGTTAGCAGAGCCCAGTCCGCTACAGACCGAAGGGGCTTTCGTCTGCAAAATAAGATTCATGATGGCACTTATCTCCCTCACTAGGAGTGCTGTACAAAGCAAAAGTCCCTAGAAAAAGTGGAGTGCAGAACCTGGTATGTAATACGCCCCGAGTGCACCGTACCTACCCCCTTCCCTTTGGGCTTCTGTGCCTGCTCCCCAGGTTCAAAGCTCAAAACTTCGATTGGGAACCGCCAAACATATGCAGCCATCTTCCTTCTAAAAGTGCCGCCCATGGACCACCAGCGTCAGCATCACCTGGGAGCCTGTTAGAAATGCAGGCTCTCGGGCCCCACCCCAGCACACGGATGAGAATCTATATTTTTCACAAGATCCCCAGGTGATTCAGAAGCACTTCAAAGCTCAAGAAGGCCTGGACTTGGCTGTGTAAAAGAACGGACTTAAGAGAGGCAATAAACGCAGAGGGGAAAGAAAAGATGCTGAGCACTGAGGCTTGATTAATCTCCCAGGATGCATCAGCAGCCCAGGATGAATCAGCAGTAAGAAGGAACAGGAGGCGGGGAGAAGGGTCAGAGAGGCTTGCGGTGGTGTTCCACCCAAGAGAGCGGCTCCAGGTCACACCAGCAGCTGTTTTCGCAGGCAGCTCCCACCCTGTGGGAAGGAATGGCCTTTCCTTCCTTCCTTTCTGCATCTGGAGAGTCTGCTCCCCAGGCTTTACAGCAAAACTTGGAAAGCCCGGGACCAGCAGTTGGTATAATGGCTATGTCGCTAGACTCCCATGTAGTCGACCACGGTTTGAGTCCTGGATCCGGTGGCTTAAACTCACACAGGGTACATGTGCGTGCATGCCCAAGATCCCAAGAGGAGAATGGAGGCGAAGGGACTACAGTGTGGCCATCTCTCCTGGGGGGTGATTTCTCGCTTTCTGTCTGTCTTTCTGGCAAGTGCACATGCCCTATAGCAAAAGAAAAAAAAAAAACCTCTCAAAAAAACAAACAAACAACTTGGAAAGCCTGTGTTTTGTATTACAGGAGAGGCTAGTACGTCACTAGCCAGCCTCGGAAGAAGGAACCTGGCAGCAGAGGACAGCAGCTGCTCCTCAGCCAACGGACCACCATTCAGATCCCACCTGTGTGTAACTCAGGCAAAACTCACTTATTTCAGGCAGGCCCCAGTGGCTAAAGGAAATCAGATCCCACATGGCCAACCATGGTTTGAATCCCTGCCTGGAGGTTTGAAAAACATGCCAGGCACATATGCGTGCATGCCCTAAATCCCAACAGGATGGAAAAATGAAGTGATTGCAGTGTGATGACCACCCCACCCCACCCCCATCTCTCTGACAAGTGCACACTTGCTAACAAAAAGACATTTGGGACCAGCAGATGGCATAAGGGTTACATCACGGAACCCACATGGCCGACCACAGTATGAGTACCAAACCCAAAGGCTTGAAACTCACACCCAGTGCACATGTGTGCATGTCCAAAATCCCAAAAGGAGAAAGAAGAAGGGATTGCAGCATGGCTAATCCCCTGAGGGATGACTTCTCACTTTCTTTCTCTCTCTCTCTCTGGCAAGTGCATGTGCTCTATAGGAAAAATCTCTCTTCAAAACAAAACAAAATATCATTAATTTCATCAACAAAGGATTCCCTTAAACCCCCTATAACTGTTACATGCTACCTTACAACAAAAGAGATTCTTTTTGTTTGTTTGTTTGTTTTGCTACAGGGTACATGTACTCATCAGAGACAGCGGAGGAGAGAGGGAAAGTGATAAATCAGCCCCCAGGGGGATGGCCACATTGCAATCCTTTCTTGTCCATTCTCCTTTCGAGATTTTGGACACACGCACAACACAACTAGTATGTTTTTCAAGTCACTAGGGCCAGGACTCAAACTGTGCAGTCAGCCATGTAAGATCCAGCTGCCTTCACCTCCACACCACCTGCTGGCCCATTTAGAGAATTTTTAAAAGAGATTTTTGTTATAGGGTGCGTGTACTTGCCAGAGAGACACAGAGAGACAGAAAGTGAGAGATTACCTCCCCCCTCAGGGTGGATGACCATGCCACAATCCCTTCTCCTCCACTCTCCTCTCAGGATTTTGGGCATGCGCACACACACACCCAGTGTGAGTTTAAGCCGCCGGGTCTGAGACTCGAACTGCAGTCAACTACGTGGGAGTCCAGCAACATAGCCATTATACTATCTGCTGGTCCCAACAAAGAGAATTTCTTAAAGTTCTTCTCTTTCCTATGCAATTCTAAGCATCTAAAGGGTAGACACTACGGTCCAATCATTGCTGACCAAATTAGAA